ACAACAACAACAACAACAACAGCAGCAGCAGCCGCAACAACAACAACAACAACAGCAGCAGCAGCAACAACAACAACAACAACAACAACAACAACAACAACAACAACAACAACAACAACAACAAACAAAACAAACTCAGTTTGAAGAAGAACCCGCCGACATGCCAAACATACGCGCCGACATGCCAAAACTAGAATGCACATGTTGTGCCGACATGTCAAACACATGCGCCGACATGCCAAAAGCTCGCCCCGACATGCTAAAATGCATGCCAACATGTCAAAACCGACCCCGCGGAGATAATGTGTCCAGGTGTTTCTTTCTCGGAGCACGTTTCTGTCATGTCCGCGCGCCCGATCCCACTGCAAGTGTGGTTGTTTGTCTGGATGGTTTGGTAGTCACTTTCTCAGGGTCATTCCTTCTGAGAGCCTCCCTAGGAACCTATCTGTTCTATTTAACTGTGTCTGCGCATGTCTTTCATCTCGGCACGTTTTAATATTGGCATGTCGGCGCGGTGTATGTCGGTGCGTGGTTTTTGCATGCACATCGGTGTGCAAGTTTGGCATGTTGGGGCAATTTTGGCCAGTCGGCGAAAACCCTTTCGTTGGCATGTGGCGCGTATTCTTCAGCACGTCGGCGGCAGTCTAGTTTTGACATGTCGACACGTGGTGTCCCACATAACAAACAGAATCAAACAGATAGACGGACGGACAGACCGACGGACAGACAAACAGACGGAAAAAGGATGGACAGACGGACGGACGGACAGACAGACAAACAATATACATACACACACGCACACTCAATCACGCCAACAAACAATCAATCAACCAAACAAACAAACAAAAAACCAAGAAAACAAACGGGCAAACAAACAAACACACCAAACCAGCAACACAAACAACCTAACACACTAACTTACAGACAGACAACCAAACAAACAGACTGCCACACACACACACACACACCCCGGAGATTACTTGTGCCTATCCATCCATCCATGCATAAATTCATGTATACATATTTACGCATAGGCATGCGGCCTATCTGGCCCAGCATAACCCAATGCTCGCAAGCATGCTGAGGAACCTCTATGATTCTATGATCTGAGCCATCTCTAATCCGAAAAGATTGGGTCCTGACACGCAGCAACTCCCGGCATAGTGTTGAATCCCGACACCATTGCACAGCATTGTGGTTGTAACACTACACACCACTGAGATAGCAGAAAGGCAAGAAACCCACAGCCTTGTAGCATCTTGTAAGCTGTCTGCAGTCTGGAGGAATCTAGTCGATCTAGTCCCTCTGTCCTGATAAGAAGACCTAGGAAAACAAGCTCGCATCCCAGCTGCGGCGACAGGAAGAGCGCAAGCAGAGCTGTGAAAACTCCGGAGAGATAGACCCACCTGGGGCTGAAGTTGTTGCTGTCCCGAAAGAGTTCGTGGCCTGTCGCCAAACCTGTAGTTGCAGCCTTTGATATCTAGTTTATACTCCATATCCGCATATACCCTCCTCAGAGCCGCACATGCCAAAAACACGAAGCTTCTCATACTCCCCTCTTCTAAGTGTTCACCTTCAGGAGTGCGCAAGGTCGACATCCCAAAACCCCTTCCCTGTATCCCAGTTCCGTGGAGGCCCACGGAGCGAAAGGGCAGATTTTTTGGAAGCCCAGAACATCAGCGCGGAAAGTCAAGGGCGTCGGTAGCCTCCATGCAAGAAGTGCTTGGTAGCAGACAAGTAAATAGCTGCGGTGGGGGAAGAAAGGAACGGATGACTATAGTGGTAACAATGCTGCTTGCAGTACTTGCCACCAACCTCCCCTGCTCCTGTTGCCAGATGTTGGTGCTTCACTATGCAAGTACTACTTGGCCGGTCTGAGGATGCCTAGCTCAATCGGGACTACCGACCCGAGCTAAGCTGGAGCATGCCATATGCCAGAAGCCCACAACAATTCAGTCGTCACCAAAACCTGTCCCCACAAATTCTAATGATGTCTATACTAGTCATGCGATGTCATGCGCAAATACTAGGTTCTCTTCCTTATGGGCCTCAGACTTCACTTAGTGACATAAGGGAACACTCTAGATTATCTGTAGCTAGTGCCAAGCTGCCCCTTAAGCTCCAAGAAACCAGCCGAAGGCCCCCAAGAAGAAGACGAAAGAGGCCTCGGGGAAGGACATGGGTTTGGGTTCAGCACGACTAGGAACCACCGGATAGGGTTTTGGGTGTGAAAATCAGAGATAAAGATGCTTGGCCTGCGGAGCTGGAGTGTAGGGTCGGCGTTAACATGGGTTCGTGCACAGATCAAGTGGGGATGGTCGCCGGATTATGTGGACAACATGAACATTCGTTCAATGGTGTGAGGCTTGCGGAAGAGGGCACACGAGCATGACGGGTTCTGTCGAGGATAGTGGCTTGAACTGCGGCCACGGAATTTCGGTAAGTTGTGAGTCCTTTCTAAAGGTTGACGACACGCGAGTTCTTTTGGAGCTGCAAGGGATTATTATTGGACAGTGATGAGGTTTGCATGCCTGTGCCAGGGCACATGCGAAACGAACAAGTGTCAATTTGGGGCAGTTGCTGTTGCCGTCATTCTCCAGTCCCACCCGTTGCTCCAGAAGTCCATCTTGCAACCGTTGGATACTGTAGCCCTGCCGTTCGAGTTGGCTAGCGGCTGGCCCATGACATGGTGCCTTCTCTGCCGAAATGCAGCATTCCCTTCGTAGGAGACTAGTAGCATTGGTGATCTTGTCTAAAACGGGAAGATAGGACTATTGCTCATTCGTGGCTGAAGAAAGCCCTGTGTGATGTCACGGGTGTGAAAACATGCTGCTGTCTTGCGCAGGAGGCCAGAAGAAACGGAACCCCAGGAGAAGCTTTTTAGAACTCAGATGCTCGAATTAGCCGGCTCGGCCGGCTCGTGGACTTCCCGGTGATTTAGGGTTTTACAGGTTTCCCCGGTTTTTCGGTAGCATGAGTTTTTGACTGTTGACTTGCAGCTCCAAACCTAGCATGGAGTGCCAGCTTTGGGCTATGGCGGCTACGAGCCACGAGCCACTACATCGCCAAATCTTAGGGCCTGCTTCCAGAGTCGACCGTGCAACTGCACAAAACTCAGTGCCCATGGCTCACAAGCAAGCACAGGCGCCACACAAGCCCAGCAGGTAAGCGTGAAGGGCCAGCCATACTGGAAGAGGAGGGAAAGCACCTACTCCAGGGTCAGCATGATTTTGCCGCAGGAAGCTTCACTGCAGGGAGCAGAACCCTTAAAGCAAGTCACATTCAAAAAGAGTGCAAGCCCATGCCCCGGACCCTGAACCGTAATCAGGAGTACTTACAGACCTACAAGCTTACTACCGCTGTTCTCTGGCCTTCCATCGGCCGGGTGTCCTCCAGGTGTGGGAGAAGAACCTCTGACGACAGTAACGCCCAGCATACCTGCCCCGTAATCATAATCAGCATGGAATCCCGGAAGAGACGAATGGATGAAACAGGCCGAATAATAGGAAACCGCAATGAGGCAACATAACGAGAAGCAACCATTGCAATGCAATAAGAACTGCAGCGCAGCAAAGCACTGACACAAGCAACCCCCTTGAGATACCACAAACGATAAGACTGACCTGACAGCAGGAGCGTTCATGGCTTTCAACATCCCAGGCAAATATAAACAAACACAGGCATTTTGCAATTGCAGGCCCCTTGCTTACAACTTGCTGCAGGAATCGAGATTGCTTCCCCAGATCAGGCAGATCCCTACGTTTGTTGTTAGAGCGCTTCTCAGAATTCATGAAGCTGTATGGCTCAAACACTAGCCTGCAGTGCCGACATTTGCGTTCCACATCTCAGACAGCGAACCTTTCAGCCCCGAACCCTGCTAAAGTCTAGCTGCTAAAGTCATTCAAAGTATCTGGCGACTTGGTGTTGCTGTCCAAGAACTTATACGAACAATCGCATTGCAAGTCTGCTGTTTGGTTGCTAGTAAACTCCGTAGCAGCAACTGATCAGAACACCCTAGCAGCCAAAGGGCACGTCGAAGCGATCTACGGGCTCCGACCTTTCCCACAATTTCGACTTGGCACGTTCGTCCTTCAAATTGTTGCAGGGTTTACGAGGATTGAAGGTTTTAGGCTAAAAGGGGTTAATTACACGGCCTTTGTTGACACTCCCGCTCGGATGCTCCGGGCAGTGTTGGTGCAACGATCAAACAAGTGAGAAGAAAGACAGGCTATCATGTGGGCGACGGGAAACGACAAAGGCCCAGTGTAACCCCATAAATTATTGCCCCAGTGACAGTGATTGCCTCAATTGATGCTTGGGGTTAGGGGCTCGCACATTGATACCTGGCCGCATGGCGGCGGGCCTGTATGTTTTCGAGCATACAGGACAAGTGCTGTAAATTGCATGACTTCGTGCGTGTGGCTGTGGAAATGGAGGGNNAGGGATTCGTGCTTCAGGAAATCCAGAGACTCAAACTTATAGGGCACTCTTTTTAGGACACGTCCCCCACGTGATCCGCGACATCCGGTTTGGAGGCAAATTCGCTGCAAATAGCATGTTTTTGGGCGTGCTTGCAAAATGGCATGAACACTTGTGACCGTGCCTCGTGTTGCTAAACATGAAACAGCCTCCTGCAACATGTTGTATAAAGAGGCAAGAGGCAAAAATGCTGCAAATAGCAGGGTTTGGGGGATATTCAAACGTCATGGCGCCTCGTGTTACCGAACATCAAACATCCTCCTGCACATGATGTATAAGCAGCCAAAACCGCCGTGAATAGCAGGGTGTTGGGTTGGCTTGTGTAACATGGTCGTA